CAGAGCCTGAAATGACAACCAGAGAGCTTGCATGGTACTGATCTAGGCCCTCTGCATATATGTGACAGTTCTATAACTTGATCTTCTTGTGGGACTCCTTACAATGGAAGCAGGGGCTGTCTCCCATTCTGTTACCTACTATTGGAACCCTTTCCTCCTACTATGTTGCCAATCAGCCTTTAACAGGAAGGAGATACATAGGCTTGCTATAACTTGATGTGCCATGTCTGGGTGATATACATGGAAAACCTACCCTTTTCTGAAGAGACAGGAGAAGTGGATTGAAGGAAGAAGGAAGGTTAGATGAATGAACGCTAGAAAAGAGGGAGAAGACACTGTGATTGGGCTGGAAAAAACTAGTGAATGAATTTAAAATATAAATAAGAGTATAGGTATCCTCAAATGATGACACTGTCCAGTAAGATGCAAGGGAGAAGAGAAGAGATAGAAAAAGAAAGACCCTCTACTCACCTGCTTTGTCCAGTAAGTTCATGTTATTTAGTACAAACAAAACTAATTTTACCCATCCAAGTAAAACTCTAACCCCTATGTTATGACTGACCCCAAGTGTCTTCATTTTGAGAATAATTACATAATTTTAAATTAAGGAGATATGTATTTATTTTGAGAATAATTTGGTAATATTAAATTAAGAATATTTTGCTTATAAAAAAGTTGTTTGCAGGATTGGAGAATAGCCCAGTGGGAAAAAGCACTGGATACTCTTCCATGGGACCTGGAATCAATTCCCAGCAAAACATGGCAGCTCACAACCACCTGTAATTCCATCTTCAGAGAATCAAGTGCTCTCTTCTGGAGTCTTCAGGTACCAGATGTCTCCACTGTACACAGACATACATTCAGGTAAAACACCCATTTACAAAAAATAAAAATTTGAAACATAAGTTGGTGAGCATCTAATAAAAGGAAAGAACTCATTCCAACTATATCAGAATGGACTTTAGGCAATTTAGTTTTTATATGTTTTTATTTATAAGGCACATGCATGTGTATATACAGGTAAATAGGAGGGAACAGAATTGTGTAGGTGGATGAAAGGTTCGTAGATAATTTCTTAGCTAGGGTTTCTATTGTTGCAATGAAACACCATGACCAAAGAACAAGTTTAGGAGGATAGGGTTTATTTCACATATACTTCTATATTGATGCTCATCTTCAAAGGATGTCAGGACAGGAACTCAAACAGAGCAGGAACATGGAGGCAGGAGGTGATGCAGAGGCCTTGAATGAGTGCTGCTTACTGGTTTGCTTTTCATGGCTTGCTCAACATGCTCTGTTATAGAGCCCATGACGACCAGCTCTGGAACAGCATCATCCACCAAGGATTGGGCCCATCACCATCAATAAGCAATTTAGAACAGGCCTTAAAGCTGGATCTCATGGAGGCATTTTCTCATTTAAGGTTTCCTA